CAGGAATAGTGTTAAGTAAAGTAACTGAAATAAAAGGCAATTGAGTAAGCACATATAATGTTGATACATCACAAAAAGAAGATACAAGACAAGGAGATGGACATAGACATAATCAGTGCTAGACAGCTACAAATTTGATACTGCGGGCAGAGCAAATGAAAATAACCAAATAATTCTGCTAGATTTGCTGCCCGCTCACCTTAGGAACAAAATCCAACTCATTAAAAGTATCATCTTCCTCGTACTCCTCACCACTTTCATCTTCTTTATTTTTAGTCACATGACTCTCCACATTCACCAATCCTTGTATTTCTTCTTCACTCTCCTCTTCAGAACTACTAGGTACATATGCCATTGGGTCGTATCTAGGAATCTATATAGGCAATATGTTATTGTTTGGGAATTTCACACATTGTTAGAAAAGAGTCTGTACAAAGAAGGTTGTGGGTTTATTTCGTGCTATGTACACATTAAATGGTGTATGGATTGTGATATGTATATAAGATTGTTCTTCACATGACAGTGTATGAAGAAGAAAACTTATCCAGAATATATACTTCAGTTTGGAGCAGTATTCAGTATGTTACTTAAATCACTAAAGTGCCTTCATTATTGTATCAGTTAAGGTGTTACAATGTGACACATTTGATGAGAAGTGTTTCTTCAGCGCTGTATTCAAAATTATTTTGAGGCTCTTGGATTTGTCCATACTGGAGAAATGGTTCTAAAGGGGCAACCAAAATAACTTGTGTCTTTGTAACTTGGTACTGATACCATTATAACATGAGAATGACATGTCTCTGTAAGTAGTAACTTGTGAATTATGTGTCTACGTATTTGGGATTGTCTTCTGAATCATATTAATGTGTTATGTCACTGGAGTAACTCACTGAACTCAGTATTAAGAACAATAACATACAATCTGTTAAAATTAAAAATGAGAAGTAATAACATATAACACATACATCAGTGCATATTTACAAAGTTCTCTGTACATTTGTCCCATGTTGTTACCAAAAGAGAAAAGAATTATTCAAGTTAAACTCATGTAAATACTTTCAAGACTGTAGAGGAAACAGAACAGACAGCAATGCTCTTGTGACATGAAAAGGACTATCTTGGCATTCAAACAATTGAGTGTACACACACATATAACCTGTAAAATATATTTTGCTTACCGGCTTCTGTGTTTCCTGTTGTGTTGTCAAGGAAGCCTTTTTCTCCTCAGTCTTTTGTGTAGACAGGCAATGAAAATGAAGGAACAGAATGGTGATTAATTTTCAAGAATGAAATGTAGAATACTACCATTTACCACATACCACATGGCAAAACTGTGTGTATTAGCAACCATTTACCACATACCACATGGCAAAAATGTGTGTATTAGCATATAACTCTTTCTCTCTCTCTATACATACACACACACACACATATATACACACAGAGTTAATTTATAACATAACAGAAACTTATATTCTAGCACTCTAATTTAGCAAGAAAAATCAGTTTAAATCGTCTCAAAAATCAATTACATGGTGGACGCCATAAAAAGGCAATTAGGCCTCCCTCATATGAAAGTATGTAACGTACATAAAACTTACCATTTACAATCATTATAGGAAACATAGGATCATACTAAGAATGTCATATTGTTGTTTGTGTTTTGTTGTGTCAACATAAAACGCCAGTTACGTAAAAATTAAAAAAAAAATTCAATGCAATGCAATTTTATAAGTGCATGTGTGACTGAAAACATAAGCCAACATTAATCTGAAATTTCCCTTCACACAAAATAATGAAGTTTAAAATAGTAAGTGTAATTATGTGATGCTTTGCAACAGTTTCATTACATCATTCTCAAATAAACAGCCAAGCTCAACTGAAACGTTCATTATATTTATCAGTGTACCGAATAATATTTAAGAACTCCTACTTCATATCTTTGATACCAGATTCCTTTAATTTTAATTTCAGAGTCTACTTGAGAAAAATCCCCTAACCTTTTATTAGAAATGAGAAAATAAACTGACGTGATGTTTGCAATATTAGCACTTTAAGGAGAATTAAACTAATTTTGTGTCAATTAAAATCTCTTCTCTGTCAGTAACAATGTTCCAAAGGATTTGTCACAAGCTAATATATAATTTCATTCAAACTTAAAAATTTATAGAGCATGTACTAAAATTACCTTCACTTCCACAGCCTTTTTCTGAACTGACATCTTCCTTTCTCCATCCACCTTAATTTCTTCAACCTGTAAAACAGATAACATTACTGGAATTCCAAATTACTTTCCTGTGCATAATGTGTGTTAATAGCATCATGATTAATATTCTTGTGACAATGGAAAACATGTCATGCTTCTGATCACAAATACCAACAATGTAGTCAATGAAGGTTATGAGGAATAATTTATTTTCAGTTTATGAATACCTCTGATCTCACTAAAATGAAGGGCTCATCATTTTTCAGTACTTACCATATATTACATAAATGTAAAATTGTGGTTAAGATTTCTTCAGGAAACTGAACAATTAACAAACTTATTGTACAGTATTACACTAAGCTGATAGTGATTACTGAACACAAACTTCAAATACTTAGTTGTGAGTGGACAAAAATAAAAGACCAGCCTTCTCCATACAAACTTGAAGATCATGACCTGGGTTGTTACACTTTGTGTTCTCATAGGATCTTACAAAATTTTCAGGATAAACCATCACTTCAATTTTCAGGATGAAGTCGCCCAAATATTATACTGTCACAACTCAGAATGCCACACAATCAATGTCTTCACTGCTGGGGCATGCAGCTAACTATTCATCTCCACCTAGTGATAAAGTTAAAAAAGTGTGGAGCAATATCGCCAAGCCCTCATATGTGTTTAGTTAAGCACCAGAGAAAAATTTAAATTTACGTTTACGTATGACATATCAATATAAAACAGTTGAGAAATATCTGATGTTTACAGTAAAGCCTGGAGGAAATGAAGTTTCTGTATATGCATTATCCACATCTTAAAATGTACATAACACCCGTTTTAAAGCTAAAAAGGAAGGTAAAATTATACAAAACAGCAGTGCGAGTGCGTGATTTTATGTATAATATTTATATTATGCAGTAGTCATCTCATCCCTATCCAGATGGATTTATTTTATACTAATTAAAGACAAATGTACCTTCTGTGCTGAAACCTTCAGTTCTTGAACCTTTTTCTCTTCCTCCTCTTGCACAATCTGAATAAAAATAAAATTTCCAATCAAAACAATTTTTATAATACAACTATCCCTTTTATACATGTATTTAATTATTAACTAATTACATTAAAATGTCTTCACATTACGTTTCACCTATGAGGCCTACAATGTTGAAAAATTAAAAATCCTTTCCTTGTATTATGGTAAAGCAACAAATCAAACTGAAAGAAGTAGCAGATATTTAGGAAATGGGTAATGTGTAACAAAATAAATTAATTTGTATACCTTTTCTCCAGTCTTGATTATTGATGACCTCCTCTGAGTTTCAGTTTTCATCTCTGTTACCTGCACATGAGAAAGAAAATTACTGAAAGACTGAAAAATGAATTCAAGATTTATTCGAGCACCTCAGGAAAATTAATATTCACCACCCAACTGAAATAAATGGACACATATGGTAACAGAATCCATACTGTAAAAGATTTCACAATTATAATACATCCCATAAACATATTTTTGCACATATAAATACTGGCATATCAAAAAAGAAGTGTGAGTACAGAAAAGAAGGCATACAGGACAGAGAAATAAGAAACCTTAAAGTTTTATAAACATTTTCTTTCCTCTTTCAAAACAAAAATGCACCGTGTATGTAACAGGTGACTCAAATTGGCATGATGAAGGACTTAAGAGATGGACATATATCAGTATTTAGGATAATGAGCTGTTCCCTTCAAAATATCAGTAAGCCTGATTTGGCCTTAACAGGTCATTACATAGCACATGAGTTTCTGAACAAAACAAATAGAATCATCAACCAAAATGCACATATTTGGAATACAGTCAACAGAGTTAATGCTTATAATATGCTATAGATTATTTAAATTGTGTAAAGCAACAGTGGATATGGTTCCTTATATGACTAACTTGTGTGCCCATATTTTTCAATGGCGGTCACATTTTAGAACAGCATGAGTGAGAATGACAAATTTAGAGTATGAAAGGGTGACAAAGCACACTATGACAGTAAAGTGACAAACTGTTGATGCTGACAAAAAATAAAGAAAAATGTAAAAAGAACAACATCTGAAGGTAATACAAAGAAGAACACCATTTTTGTAAGTCACGAAATTATTTTCAGAAGAAATGTCTAACACAGTCATATGAATTGTAAAGAATCCAGAAAATGAAATAACCAAAGAAAATGGCAATAGTGTAACAGCATGTAAGAAAAGAAACCAACATGAAAGGTACAAACAGTATCAAAATTCACTACATAACTCCTTCAAAACGTTGTCAGACTCTGTTCATAGCAATAAAGTCTGCTGCCCACAAACAACAACCAGGTGTATAGCTATCATGTAGAGTATTTACACTGATAGTAAATTTAAAATATATTTCAGTGTTTTGCAGTGAGTTCATGTTATCATTGTATTCTTTACATGTTCAAGAATAAATAGTCTGTGAAAACTTCAAAAGGAACTCAGAAATGAAAATATTTAATCCTGATGAAATTATTATATGCACTTTTCTTTGTGACAGTAAGAAAGAACTGCAATCAACACTGCACTAAATAAAATGTGATTGAAAATTACTGCTGGTATAGACACAAGAAGAAACAGATTTCAGGACAGAGTTGAATAAAGCTGTGGTATTTTCCACTGAATAAAGAGAAGTTCTATGTGAAGACATTTCCAACCCAATTCTCATACCTTATCAGCACTTTCCAATTCAACGGATGGTTTTCTTCTGTTACTCTTCACCCCATTTTTCAACTAAAAATATAAAAGTAATTTATATTACAGACACTGTGTTTATATAAACAAAAATTATCATATGTTTATCATTCTTCATAATGTTTATTTTTAATTAGATTTAAGTTATAAATGTATTCATGATGTATTATGAACTATGAAGTACAAATAAGTTTTAACATTTTAAATATTTGATCTACTTTAACACTTTAATTAGTTTTAGTTTTTTAAAAAGTGTAATTATGCAACAAAATAAAGTTTAATGTACTTGGTTATAGTGAGAGAGAAATTGTTATAAAGAGACCATTCAAATAAGAACTGAGGAGAGAAGAAACACAGATGGGACAGATGACAGAAGACCAAGAAACTTGAGCAACTGGCCAAGAAGTTGTATTTAATTGCTGAAGAGAGTGAAGGACAACTGTGTGAATAATAAATGAACAGCACAAACAATAGCAGAAACAATATTTTACAAGAGTCAAAACAAGATTTTAATTGCTGAAGAGAGTGAAGGACAATTGTGTGAATAATAAATGAACAGAACAAACAGTAGCAGAAAAAATATTTTACAAGAGTCCAAACAAGACAGTTTGAAGAATATGAGGGGCAACACATGTATTGAAACATAGTTACTGTGATAAATTCGAGAAAGGATGAGTAAAAATGTACCAACTTGCAAGGCTGATAAACATTTCATTCAATCTTCATCTATGTATATGTGTATGCATGCATGTATGTATATGTTATATGACACAACAAAAAGCTCCAGCTAAATTTTGTTTTTCAGGAAATGGCAGCTTTCAAACATTCTTAAAAACCACCACTACTTACAGACAATACACTTTACTGAAGATAAATTATTACCCAAAATTGACTATTCCTGTATAAAACAGTAGAACGTTAAAGGAAGTTTTAACGAAATTACAACCTTATATTCAGACAAAGAAATCTGCTACAGATGTATTTTGTTTATATATACATTGTATATATGCTCAAGCACACCACCATCCTGCTATATTGCTTCATAGATCTTTGGAAATATTTCTTCCCCTATTATCCTGTACAGAAGATGAGAAATGTTAAAAATTCTCCTTGAAGTAACACATCTTCTTTCTTTCTTTCTTCCAAATAAAAATGCAATGATTAATGCAATCATTCATAAGAAGTCTTTCTTTAAAAATGATACTTCAATTTTAGAAACACATCCAACAGGTAGAACTCGTCTTAGTGAATGTGTCTTATATGGAATCAAATCAAAGTAACATATTTTATAAAAGCACATGTTAGTTTCCTTAAAGAAATAAGAAGTCTGACATTTTGAAGAAAGCATATAGGCCTGCCACAAGAATATTTAAAAAATTATAGCAAAAGAAGTACAGCAATGTTCAGATTTAACTTTTAGTAAACACATACAAAGGCACTCAAGAAATGCAGACTGCGGTGCTATGTACAATTTTAGTTTTGGCTGAGTTGGTCAGATCCCTTTAATGTACTTCCTACCTTCCTATCATCAGTTTTCTCTGGGGCTGGACTTGTAGCCTTAGGGTCTCTTTCCACAGGCTTTAGCTGGACCATGTGGAAGGGTACATCTTTCACTTCCATTCTTGGTTTGTTTTTCTGCTGTATATCTTTTGTGTTATCTGTACCTGATTTCTTAACCTGACCTGGTTTCAAGTCATTTTTTTGTTCTGAATCCACTTCATTTCTATTTTGATTGTCAGTGTGAAGAGTTTCTGCCCCTTCCGGTCTCTGAACTCCTGTCTCTTCATTTTTAACAGTATTTTCCTCTTTCTTAACCTGATCTAATTTGGTGTTATAATCCAACTCTTCTTTTTTCTGAAGTGTGAAGTATTCTTTTTTTGAAGGCACATAACATTATTTGTCTGCCCACAAAAGTTGGTGATAATAGCAATGTATCTGCTTTTCTTCAATTGTATCATACATACATTAACTTCAATCGTCTTTCACAAAATGACAATCTGACACCACAGTAAAAATGCCTGGGTTTCCATCTTTCACAGTACTTATATAATAGTAATACTGCAATCAGTCACCATAAACACCAATAAATTTAAGATTCAAGGTTCTCAGGGTTATAAGACCATAACTGATGCCATTAAATCATTTTTATGGTACACTTTAGGTTATCACCAACATTTTGTGAGTAGAATTTAAAATACACTTTCATTAAAATTGTTAAAGCATAAAAATAGTCACACTGTAGGAATACGTAAAATATGATATGGTACAGAAGTACAGATAAGATAATGTCAGGAATATTAGAACAGTAAGTACACATTTAAGTGCTTTCTTTTGTAACTGTTTAATACACTATTTGTAGAGTAACTTTCTTGATAATTTCTCCTAATTCAAAAAATAATTCTTTGTTTCAAAGTAGGTGGGTGTAAAGGTATGTCTTTTGACTTGCATTATCAAAAGCAAAATTATGATAGGTATGAATAAAGTACAATAAAACTTGAACTAACACTGCCTGCTAAACTAGACAAGATATTTTATGGAAACAATCTTTCATAGACATACCTCTACAAAGAAACCCAATGTTTCCTGGCTCTCACCAAGCTGTCAATATAGTCGCATTATAAAAAATATTATATTGTATAATTTACCCCTTCCCATAAAATAAATTATGTTACAAATTTTGAACATTAGTAATTAAGTAGAATTTTAGGTTCTCATGGTGGTGAGTATGAAGATGGCTGTCTTCTGGATTGTAGTGCCATGTATTCTGGTAGACGTTTACCACGTTTCACAGGACCTTGCTACTTCCATCATCAGGGCAATGAGTATGCCTTGCACATGGAATCTGATTACACATGCATGGCTTACTTATCACCCTAATAACGGGGGCAGCAAGGACCTCTGAAATTCTGGTAAATATCTTCAGACTAAATGGTGCTACAACCCAGAAGTCAGCTATCTCTATTTTCAAAGTAAATTGTTTAAAATAAAAGTGAATAATAAGTTGGTGAACACCACAACACAACTTTAAATGCAGATTACAGATTTTACAAAAAACATTGGTCAATTTATGAAAACCATATACCAAGAATTTTTTAAGTATTTTGCATTGAGTGTGAAATATGTGACTGATGGTAAAATAATTACAGTTCCTGGCAATGCATTTTTTAAATTAAAAATTAACTTCATTCTCAATGGTTATATTCAATGTAGGACAACCAAAAAACTACAACTATCTTATCAGATTCTGTATCCATCTTCTTATTAACCACATTAAAACAAATTTTAAGAGTAAAAAGTATATTTCAGTGTAATGTCAATTTAAGATAATAAAACTATGGATAATTTTTATAGGCATGATGTATGGTATTAGAGTAGTATTTTTAAGAATGGTTTAAAATAGTGGCATAGTGTATTAAGTCTTATGGAAGCATTTCTATGATTAAGACTGGAATGTTCTCATTAACATTTACCTTTTCAGGCTCTGCATTCTGTTTTACAGCATCTATATCACTCTTCTTATCAACCGTCTTCAGGCAAGTTGTGACAGAAGAAAAGTATATTTCAGTGTGGTGTATTCTTATAGCAATAAAAATATATACAATCTGGCCATTAAATTAACACTCTTAAAAAAATTAAAACATTGACAATATGTTTTGTATACTGATCAAAACACAGTCTCTGATTAAAAATGAAATGTTCTTATTCAACATTATAAATATAATTTCCAGTATCAAAACTTCAACTTTTACAGATTAAATAAGATATTTACTGATACAGATGACAGCCATATATGTACAATTACTTTTCCAGTTTTAATTTTGGATTTACATTATATTTATCAGTTTTCTTACCAGCCATCTTGATACAACTAGTAAGAGAGTAAAGAATATTCAGAACAAATAAAGATATTTCATTGTTTAAAGAAAATGAAGTGTAATATCAGAACAAACTTTTTAAGAAAGCAGTCACATGGAATTTCTTTGTCTTAAAAGTATAGTTTAAAACGGAAAATTACGTTTTTAAGTACCACTTTTGTAATAAGAATGTCAACTGTACTATTCTTTATAATATCAGATTACAGAAGTAAATGGTAACTGTAAATATACAGTTACCTTATCAGATTGTTTTCTACATTATCCTAAATGTATATATCCTCTTTACCAAAGACATCACGAAAATTATTGCAGAGTGAAAATACTTTAATAGTGCAATTTAAAAGCAATGAAGAGATTGAAACATTTCCCAAAGTGAATCACAATATTAAAATATTTGTTTATGGCATTTACATATCTTTTTTATTCCTTGTAAATGTATTATTTTTGAGTACGATTATAAAATTCTCTTTAGAATAATTTATATCAATATGTTAATAAAATATTTGCATCACTATCATGTAAGAAAAGTATATGTTTAAATTATAAGTGTAAACAAACATTTACCTTCTCAGGTTCTATTGTCAGTTTTACTCTATCTGTGTCTGTCTTCTTTAAACTACCACCATGAACAAGATACAGAAAAGATAATTATATGTTAGTAATGTATTCTCATTACAGTTAGAACATATCTTAAACATGTTATTTCAAAAACAACCATCATTATGAATTCAAGATATTTACCATATATAAAATATAATTTAATAGAAATTATTTATAAAGGAATGATTATTTTAGTAGATATTGCTAGTTAATAATTTTTCACATGACCTGAATGCTTTAACTGTGACACCACATAAGTTACTTTTAATGGATACTTCATTTATTCAATGTGAATTAGAGAAAACAAAAGGCAATGTCTTCAGTGTTTTCAGATTGTATGTTTATTTCATACTTATGATGTGATGTCCCTTCAAGTGTATGCTTTAAAAAAACTATGCTGTTACAATGCGTCATTAATCTGAGTGGATTGATCCAGGCATTGATGTTCCAGGAATAGAAGAATAATACTTTTTATGACTGAGTCCATGGAAAATAAAATAAGGAATACAACAAAATGGGCCTACATTTCTTCTGAGATCAAGCTAAGCTTCTTACTGATGATCCTGCTTTTGCATGTAGCACTGTGTGGAACTGGTCATTGTTAACAACACTTCAGAGAAATATACAACTTCTGTAAGAACTAAAATGAGGAGCACTTATGATGGAGACTATATAGTTATCTGAAATATCAACAATGCAGCCCACTTCCACATGCTGTCAGCACTCAAAGTGTGGATCAATATTAACAGTGAATCACTATAAAAGTTTAAAGTCTTCTAAAGCACAAGATATGGTTCAAGTACAGAAATTGTACTGACACTATATTGGTCTACTCATAGTATACGCATAAAATCTGTATTTATATTACATTAAATTCTGCGGCACTGCAGAAAATAATTATCTGATGTCTTGAGTTATTGTCAATTCTGAATCACAATGTCCCAATATATATAATTAGCAACAAATAGTGATTTTCATATTTGTCTAGTCCCATGTTATAGCACTGCAAAAATATGGCTCTTTCAGTTCTGTGTTTCATTGTTTGCAAGAAGTGTAGCCGCATAATGTTTTAAATGTAATTTTGGATACATTTAATTATGAATTTATTTGTAAAAAGTTCTTCACCAAGAACTAAGACATTGTTTTAAGAACATTTATCTAGATCTGGACTAGTTATGAAAAATATTATACATAGAAATATGCTGAAATTACTAAACACTGACAAGAAACATGTAAAATTAACTTCTAAATAATAAAATTAATATCAATGTTACAGAAAATCATTAATATTATATGAGTATATAATGTGTTAATGCTTCAGCTAGCGAAGTGTAATTTTTAAATTTTTAACGAACATACTGCTGAAGCCTCTCACCTTTTCTGTATCTGTCTTCTTTTGCTCAGGCTGTTTCTTTGCTTCCTCCACTTTCTAATAGAACAAGAATTAATGTGTTCGAATTTCATCATGTAAACAATGTTAACTACTATATGTATCATATGTAATAGCAACCATTTAAATGTGAAGATTTTAATATTGAATTAAACATTATGTAAAGACAAATATGTCATTAGAGTATACAGAAAATGCAATACTTCTATCAAATACTCTAACAATATTGTATTCAATCAATTTTGCAACAACTGATAAGTTTCAAGGCAGTGTATCTTCTGACAATTTAAACTGAAGTAACACTAGTCACCTATTCATAGTATTTCAGTCTCAACACACAAAATTTTCAAAATGAAAAGAATTACTATAAAAATTTGTGATTCCTCGTTATAAAAAATACAAAACATTACTAAAATACAGATTATTAACTATAATCCATGTAATTGCGAACAATTATTGTGCTTTAACCAGAAATATATTATTCACGTCTCAATTAGTGTTAGCAAATAATATATCAGTGTTATAATAAAAAAAATTATAATATAAAGTACTGCATGACAAATGTAACAAAGCTTACATGCATAAGCATGTGCAATTACACTTGTAAACACAAAAAGCACGTAACATACTTAACCAGAAGTAAGTTATTCAACTTTCATTCTGGCAAGTTCAAGTTGCCCCTTTATTTTAAGATTTAAGTCTATAACATTATTTGAAATGTAAAGACTATATATACCTGCTAATTTAAGAAAGTGTGATTTTAGAAAGTTAGTGAAATGCATAACTAATATGGCAATTTTATGTTTTATACAATGACATACTAATGTCTGTCTGCTAATGACAGAGAGCAAGCAATATTTAAATGTTGATAATTAATGTGTGAAGTGTAAGAGAAGCTAGATATATTAAAATGTATTAATTTTAGCTTTAGTTGTTTTGGCGCTGAAAGAAGCAATAAAAGACACTAATGAATGCAAATGTCAGTTGAAACACTCAAGTGTTGAAATACAAAACACCTCACCTTCTCTGGCTGTATCTTCTTGTTTGGTTCTGGTTTTTTCTTCACCTCATTCTCTCCCTATTGTCAATGGAAGTGTGTTTTAATAAAATATTGCAATATTTGCATTATTTCAATATTTTTCACAGACAAATAATTCTACTACACCTGACTAACTTTGTATTAAGTGATAATCCCATATAAATTAATGTTTTGAATAAAACGTGTTTCTAATAAAAGTCCACATACATTTTCTCCCTTTCTTGTCACTTTTCTAAGTGACCTGGCTACACACAAGGTAGTTTCCAAGTTGACATCTAAATTCCTAAATGTTTAAATATAATTTCTTGTTTTTAAAATTTCTGTAGTTAGGATTTAATATCTAAACTATAAATACACTTTGATACCAAAAGCATGAACTTCACCTTTGTAGCTTACAGGACCAAATCCATGCTCATTCTATACATAATTCATACTGAGAATTAAAAGGTGTGTTATTTCACCACGTGAAAGCAATAAGTTACTCTATGTCCACTTAAATCGTAAGAGAGGGAAGGCAGATGCTGAAAAAACTCAGACCGCAAAAATGTGTACCTGATGTGCTAATGATGACTTGTTTAATTAAGTCCTTCTTTATCAACTCTTTATCTGTCTTTTTATATAATTTTGCATCTAACACTTGAAAAATTGAGTAAACTACATTAACTGAAAAGAATGTGCAAAAAATACCTACAAAGGATGTTAAATTATGCCTTCCATGAAGCATTTTATTTTACTAAAAGTAACAAAAACACAAATTCTCTTAATGGATCTGAAATAGAAAAGATGTTCTGAAATAAAAATATTACCACATACAAGAATGATCTGTCGCATATCTGCATCTGCACTGGCTAAAACACAGATTACGTTATCAGTTCAAGAACATTTACGCAACAGTGATATTTCATAACTCACCTTAGTTTGTCCTCCATAACATTCTATTTTAAAATACACATTCTTTGCCATTATTCTTGAAACAGAAATCTAATTACATGATAACATGCTGTGCACATGGCCTTTAATAGAGTAACTAGTGAATACAAAAATTTATATGTTTCTCAAAGAACACCACTTTTCATTCATATGATGATGAGTGATCACGCAGTATTCATCTACAGTAATGCCCAGCTTAAAGAGTTCAAAAATGTAAACACGTAAATCAATAACAATAATGTTCTACTCAGCAATATTCAAACCAGACTTGTATTTACCTTCCTTGTAAACATTCTTAATAATATCTTGTTAAAATTTCAGATATCTCCAGACAGTAAAACTGATGTTAACTGATATTATTGAGAACTCATTGTATTCTTACTAATTCTAGGCACTTACTTGTAGAGATGCTGTCTTCTCTTCTATCTTAACTGCAACATCATTAACCTTCTCCACTTCTTTCTGCAGGACAAAATAATTATTATTGTACTAAAAGAATAATTTCATGTTAAAATAAGAATATAATAAACAGGAATTATTTCCCTAAACTGTATTAACCAACATGACACACAGTTTGTCTCGTGTGATAAGAATGGCAAGCAGCTGAATATCTAACAAAAATAAAATACATAACATACCTTTTTGGTCTCAGGCTTCTTTTCGGGAACTTTCTTCTGTGGAAGAAGAAATGGATTATCAGTGAATAAACCAACATTACATATTGTCAAAATGTAAAAAAATTGTAAACCCTAAAGACAAAATAAGGGTTTAAAATTACATATTAGTTTTATCTGAACACTTTATGCATGAGAAGTTATTTCAATATTTATCAATTACTGCATCAAAACCTGTGCACTGGACACCCTAAACA